TTTACTTATTGTATCAATTATTATTTTATAATAATGCATGTGTATTGTACTAATGATTTTTATGAGCTCATACAGATATTGATATTAAGATCTTAAGGTATAAAGTATAAAGGCTTCTTTAGAAGTATACAGACTTTTCTTGAAGTGTAAAGATTTTTCTAGAAAAAAGAGGGAGATTATCTTCTGCGTTTCTATGAAATCATAATAAAATTTAAATGCTTCTTTGGGGAAGTGTAAAAAGGATTATATCTTTATAAAAGGGTTTCTTTGGAACCATAAAGAGGATCATTGTGGTTTAGACATGTTATATATTGAATGGATCAAGTTGTGTCAAACCATATTGCACTTTATCACACCTATTGGAATTAATGTTGGTGAAGATATTTGATACTTGTGATTGTGAGGGGTTTTGTGTTATTAGTAACATAATGACTGCACAATTTGGTATTAGTATTTTCATTGAACGGAATTCTGTACTAAGATTTTGATTTATATTTGTAGCCACTAAAGTTGTATTTAACCTAATAGTCATTTTTTAAAAATATGTTTTTAAAATTTAAAACCAATTAGCGTTGCCCAAGTGAGAGAATGTTAAAAATTTGTATGTGGGCTGTCGCTAATTATATTTGGTTTTCAAAATTCGGTTAAATGGAAAACCAGTAAAGCCCAATAAAGTGATGTAATCCAAGTGAACCTAGGTTTTATCTCAATTTTATATGGTGTGATATGAATAGGTGTAGAGCCTAGCTAATTGATGGGGGTGCCCAAAATATTATTATAATGGGTTAGATCCTCTCTCCCATTCAGAAAACCATACATCTATAAATAGGAGAGTTAAGGAGTGGCATGACTTATCGGTTGTCACTATACATAAGTTAATTAGGGAGAGGAAGACCTAAATCCCAATACTAACTATATTTATTTTTGTAGGTTTTTTGTCATGAGATCTCTAATTATGATGATTCTTAAAGATCCTTAAAAATTCTTAGGTAATATATTAATTAAAGAGATCCAGGTACACAATGTATTTATTTTATTAAATTTTTGTATCCTAAATTCTACGTATGTTGATCCTTAAAATTCCAATAGTTAACTCATATATCTAACATTTTTTCTATACTTTACCAATGTAAAATTTACTTAAGGATATCACCCCTACAAACTGTTTAATTCATAGATATTAGACACTGCTTTATTTTTCTTTTGTTGAAAAGGTTTCTTAATGGGAGTAGAGGATGATACTAACAAAGAACATATCAATAATAGAGTTAACAAGACAAAGGAATATAAAGCAGCAATTTCAAATAAAATAAATAAATAAGTGATGATTCATCGATGTCATGTCAATGCACATCATTCACAAACTTGGCCACCCATGAGCCCCTTTTTTGTTTTTCTCAACAAAGCAGTGGGATCCAAAATTATTTTTCACTGTGTACAAACTTACATAGGTGTACACAAAAAAATATATATACACACATTATTAGTATTTTATATTTAATAGTTCATATTAATTTACTTTTAATATTTTAAACACTTTTTCTATTTATTTTATATATTAAAATGATTCAGTATAGTACTATCACATAATATATGTACATAAATTTTGAGAGTTTTTATGAGTTTACAATACTTTCAATATTATATTACATTAAATTAGTAAGTGCATATTAATTTGTTTATGTATGAGCTCTAAATTAAAATATTTAGTCATAATATATCATGTTATATTGTACATATTATTTAAAATTGAATTCATAAAAATTGGTTTTTAGTATTTAGTAATTAATAGAATATTTAAATTAAATATAATTAATTCTAAGTTTTATAATAAAAACTTTAATTTTTTTAATATAATAGCAATTACTAGAATAAAAAATTAAAAACTAAAATTTGAAAATCTATAACAAGAGCATAGCCCCTTTTTTAGATTCAGGAAAACAAAAGGGAATGGAGGAGAGTAAAAGGGAGGGGACTCGTTCACTTATGCTAAAATTATAAAAGAAACTAAAGGAAAAGCCTTTCTTATCCCCTCCAATTTTTGTTATCCAAATCTCAATGGAAGAATTTATTCTCCTAGCATTTTTTCATTTCAAACCAAATAAGTTAAGAGTAGTGATACTAAGAATAAAAATTTAAAACCAATGATATGGTATAAATTATATTATTAAAGAAATTAATGTATATAATATTATGATCTTAAAAAAAATTAATTATTAAATAATATATGATCCACCTTTTATTATTTTAAATAGCATGTCTTATACATATTATTGATTTCAAATTTGAATCCTAAAAGTTTTGTCCCATTTATCATTCATTATCCATAAGCAGTAACATTGTTGTTCTTTTATTTCATAATCAAAAGCTAAACAACTAAAATTGACAATTAAAAATTAAAATCAATTACTTGTTAACTATAAAATTTTAAAATTGATAATTGAAATTAAAAAATAGTTATTTAATTTGTGTTATTCATTTAATGTTATTTAAAAACCAGTATGAGCGAACTAGTATGAGAAATGAACTAGTATGAGAAATTAAAAACAATAGATATTTTGTCCCAGATATATTCTTCCTTGAAGATATGTCCTAGGCATGTCCCCATCTACAAATTACGGTTCAAACCAAAAACCCTTCCTTGTAATGGGAAGCTTAGTTTGGATGGATGTATAGAAAACGATGCCTGCATAGTAATCTGATCTCTACGATCCTCATTGAGTCATTGTAGAGTGTGTGTGGGATTTTCTGTTAATATTTTTATTTCAATGCAATCTTGGGTTGTAGTTCACAAGTCTTTCTTTGGGGACCAAGATAAATAATACTTTCATTGGGGACCCAAAAAATTAATACCACATCTCCCCTTGCAAGTGGCAACAATATATTCCAAACAGAACTTTGATGATTAAATTAGAAATCAAGTTATAGTTTCCTTGGAAGTCTCCCTTTTCTTCATGCCAATAATGTTAATTAAAGTTAATTTACCCGCTGGCAACATCAATGCTTTGTGGCTTTATCAACAAGTTCGAAAGCTACCTTGCCAATTTTACAAGAAATAAATTTGTCCTTAAATGTCTTTTAAATTGTGAAAGTTAAAGCCATACCAAACTAAATTTTTTTTGAAAAGTGTTTCAAATTTTTTTTTTCTTTTAAGTTGTTTTCAGCTTTAAAAAACTAAAAATGAAAACTTGTAAATCCTAAAGTTTTTTTACCTTCCTCCTAAACTTGATGCTCTAATGTTGTTAAGCTTCTAAGTTTGGTAATTTTTATTAATTCTAAAGTTTTTTTATGATTATTAATATAACTTAATGATTCAATACTTTTACAAAATTGCTATTCAAACAAAACTTCTACAAAGTGACAATTAAATCAAATAGAGTTTTATACTCAAAATTATACATGACATTTTTTTTTTTACATTGAAAAAGTTAGTTACTTAACAATATAAGAGTTTGAAATCTTAATTTTAATTTCAAATTAAAGTTTTTAAATTAATATGTATTAGTTCAATTAAACTCTTATTGGTGTTTGAGAGTTAATTCTTTTTTTTTTTTTATCAACAAAAACAATTATATTACCAAAGTGAAGTACAAGTGTGTTCTAACCCATTACAAAATTAACAGTGCTCAAATATAGAAAGGCTTTAGCACAGAACAAGTTCAGATGTACTCAAAGTAAGACTCACATCAACTAGTATTCCTAAAATCCTACGGTATACCCAATTAAATGTAGGCCTTTCTAGGAAAATTGTTTTCTTTTTTTTTAATGGGAAAACTAGTGCGCATATTTTATTGATAAAATAGGAACAGGGAATACATAATTAGATAATGGACTTATCCCCCGTTACAAATTGCACTATAGTTTCTGGTATATCACTGACCCAGTGTTCATCATCTTCTGCTTAGAGCGCCCTTTTCGCCAATTCATGAGTGACAGAATTGCCTTCCCTTCGGATATGTTGAAGTCGACAGCTAAGGAAGGAGGATTATGAGCAGCTTGCTGTTAGGGATAATCAAGCCCAAGGTAGAGTTTAGAGTAGGAAATTCATTGTTCATGGCCTTACTAGGGAAGTTATACTAGCATTCTTTGGATAATTCTGATACCAATTTTGCCTTGACCCAGCTAGAGTTAATTCTATTATATAAAGCTGTGAATCCAAATAAATTGGATGATAGTATCTCCCCTCTTGTCTAACATGCAAATAACAAGGGGTTTTACCTTAGTTTGCATATAGACATGGAAGATAAAAGGGGATTGGGATGTATCAAAGTTCTATTGAGATTGTGTCACCACATGTCGTTCCGGTTAAAAAGGTTCATGGATTAAAAGAGATTACTTATAACTATTCATATGGATGTAAGAACTTTACTAGTAAGATTAACTAATAAATAAATCTTATTTTATAAGATAAATTAAAATTTTAAATTTTAAAAATAACATTTTAAAAAATAAAGTTTTTTTGGATTGATTAATTTTTAAAATACATAAAAATTAATTTGAGAATATATATAACTACAAATTTTTATAAGAAAAAAAATACGGGTCGTAGGTCATCTCAGTTTTTTTTTTTTTTTTAGCCCTTTTCGGCCCATGGTCTTCCATGAATTGACTCATAATTTTTCTTTTTTTGGGGGATTTTAACCACTTCTCCATCTACATCCCTTTATGCTTCAGCCAAATTGACCAATTTCTAAACCCACAAAGCTCCATACAGAATCCAGGAAAAACCAGGCCTTTAGGGCCTTTAAACCCAAAACTCTAAAAATTGAAGTTTTAGCAAACAAAGATGGGTCAGGCCTAAAATTCATCGTTCCACTTTGAAGCATTTGCAAATAGCACGAGAATATTGAGGCCTTTGACCTTGACTCTTTGAGTGCACACCAAGTTCTAGAGTAATGGTCAAAAAAAAAAAAAAAAAACAGTTTTTTAACACGCAATGTGGAAAAAGAAGAAAGTTGAACTTGGAATATTATAAAACTTCTAAGGTCAGCACGCGATGACGGCGACGGTAACGGAACAGGATCGTTTTCTTTAGCCCCAAGCCAATCCTTCCCTACATATACTCTCCTCTCGCCATTTCTACTCCATTGTAGGGTCAGTTTCCCTCTTCAGAACCCCAATCAAATACTACTTAACCAGTACCCACTAAAGGAAACCCCTCAAATTCCGATATTGAAGCTTCTTCATCAGGTTCAGGTACTTCAAATCATTTCCATCTTGTTCCTTTTCTTTCTGTCTTGTGTTTGGTTGTCAAGAAAGTTTGGCAGAGTCGATTAAATTGAATTTAGATTGGCTGTAGGTAATTGGGTTTTCTGTTTCTTCTTCACCCAAACCCATTTTTGCTTATTTCTTTTTCTAGGGAGAAAAACAGAGGCTTTCTGATTCATTAGGATTCTTTTATTGTTTTCTCGCAGTTTTAGAGGAATTGAAAGCTTGGGTTTTTTTTTTTTTTTCTCATTTCAGTAGATTTAATTCAGTTTGGTTCGTTGCCGGTGGTTACGGATATTGGGTATTCGACGCCTCTTGAGAATATGGGTTCTCAAGTTCGGTGTGACAGAAGGGATAGGTCGAGATTTCCTGTCCAGAATGCTCGTCAAGAATGGGTACCAAGACGATCCGGCATTTCTGGTTTGAACCAGGACCAATCGCAAAGTTCCAATGTCAACTCCAATGTAAATGGGCAAATTAATCAGAGCTCGGCTGCACATGATAACAAGCATAGAGCAAATCATGCTTCGAGGGGACACATTAACCAGTCCATGAATCATAGAAGGGAAAGGGAGAAAGAGTGCAGTGAAAATCACGGGGTGAAGGAGGAGGTGAAAGATCCAAATTTGCCGCAGCTTGTGCAAGAAATTCAGGATAAGCTTGTGAAGAGCTCTGTTGAGTGCATGATTTGTTATGATGTGGTCCGGAGGTCTGCGCCAATGTGGTCTTGCCCAAGTTGTTACTCAATTTTCCACCTGAATTGTATCAAGAAGTGGGCTAAGGCACCCACATCTGTGGATTTGGTTGTGGAGAAGAACCAAGGTTTTAATTGGAGGTGTCCAGGTTGCCAATCTGTCCAATTAACACCATTGAGGGATATTCAGTATGTTTGTTTTTGTGGAAAGAGGACAGACCCCCCTTCTGATATGTATTTGACACCGCATTCTTGCGGAGAACCATGTGGGAAGCCACTCGAGAAGGAGCCTTTAGTTGCTGGTAGGACTAAGGAAGAATCTTGCCCTCATGTTTGTGTTTTGCAGTGTCACCCTGGTCCATGCCCTCCTTGCAAGGCATTTGCTCCACCACGACAGTGTCCATGTGGGAAGAAGGTTATTACAACCAGATGCTCTGATAGGAAGTCGGTTCTTACTTGTGGACAGCTCTGTGATAAGGTTCTTGAGTGTAAGCGACATCGGTGTGAGTGGATATGCCATGTGGGCTCTTGTGATCCATGCCAAGTTTTAATCAATGCCCCCTGTTTCTGCAAGAAAAAGGTAGAAGTTGTCATCTGTGGAGAAATGGCTGTGAGGGGAGAAGTGAAAGCAGAAGATGGTGTCTTTTCTTGTACTTTAACTTGTGGAAAGAAGCTTAGTTGTGGTAATCATGCTTGTGCTGAGGCTTGCCATCCTGGTCCATGTGGGGATTGTGTGCTGATGCCAAGTAGGATTAAGACTTGCTATTGTGGGAAAACAAGCTTGCAGGAGCAAAGGCAGAGTTGCATGGACCCAATTCCAACTTGTTCACAGATATGCAACAAACTCCTTCCATGTCAAGTTCACCACTGTGACCAACTGTGTCATGCTGGGGCTTGTCCACCTTGTTCAGTTCTTGTAACACAAAAATGCCGTTGTGGATCAACTTCTCGGAGAGTGGAATGCTACAAAACAACAATGGAGAATGAGAGATTTGTATGCGAAAAGCCTTGTGGGCGTAAGAAGAACTGTGGTAGGCATCGGTGTAGTGAGCGTTGCTGTCCTCTCTCAAATTCAAACAATCTGCCTTCGGGGGAGTGGGATCCACACTTCTGCCAAATGGGATGTGGGAAGAAGCTAAGGTGTGGGCAGCATTCTTGTGAATCACTATGTCATAGTGGCCATTGCCCTCCATGCCTTGAAACAATCTTCAGCGATTTGACATGTGCATGTGGGAGAACTTCAATCCCTCCTCCATTGCCATGTGGTACACCTCCTCCTTCATGCCAACTGCCATGCTCGTTTCCACAACCTTGTGGTCATACGTCTTCTCACAGCTGTCACTTTGGTGACTGCCCGCCTTGTTCAGTGCCAGTAGCGAAGGAGTGCATTGGTGGCCATGTTGTTCTCAGAAACATACCTTGTGGATCAAAGGATATTAGATGCAATAAGCTTTGTGGCAAGACCAGGCAGTGTGGCATTCATGCATGTGGTAGAACCTGTCACCCACCTCCTTGTGACACTACTTGTGGATCTGAAACAGGTTCCAAGACTTCTTGTGGACAGACATGCGGTGCCCCTCGTAAAGATTGCAGGCATACATGTACTGCTCCTTGTCACCCTTCCGCACCATGTCCTGATGTTAGGTGTGAATTCCCAGTGACAACCACCTGTTCTTGTGGCCGGATAACAGCGTCCGTTCATTGTGATGTTGGGGGAAGCACTAGTGGTTCCTATACTGGCACTGTTTCTGAAGCTTTGATGGTCCAGAAATCGCTAATGGAATCAAATGGCAAGAAGATTCCTCTTGGGCAGAGGAAGCTTGTGTGTGATGATGAATGTGCTAAGTTGGAACGCAAACGGGTTCTTGCAGATGCTTTTGAAATTACTCCCCCCAACTTGGATGCTCTTCATTTTGGGGAGAACCCTTCTACATTTGAATTACTTGCTGATTTATATAGGCGTGACCCGAAGTGGGTATTATCTGTGGAGGAGAGATGTATGTTCTTGGTACTTGGAAAGAACAGAGGAAGTACAAGTGGTCTTAAAGTCCATGTTTTCTGCCCAATGCTGAAGGATAAGAGAGATGCAGTCAAGCTTATAGCTGAGAGATGGAAGCTTGCAGTCAATGCTGCTGGTTGGGAGCCAAAGCGTTTTATTGTGGTTCAAGTCACCCCCAAATCCAAGCCTCCAGCCCGTGTTATTGGGATCAAGGGTTCTACCACTATTGGTGCACCCCATATGCCAATTTTTGATCCTTTGGTTGACATGGATCCAAGGCTTGTTGTTTCTTTTCTAGATTTGCCTCATGAAGCGGATATAAGTGCATTAGTTCTGAGGTTTGGGGGGGAATGTGAACTTGTTTGGTTGAATGACAAGAATGCATTGGCTGTCTTCAGTGATCCTGCAAGAGCAGCTACTGCTATGAGGAGGTTGGATCATGGATCAGTTTATCAAGGTGCTGTTATGGTTGTTCACAGTGGTGGTGCATCAGTAGCTTCTCCAGCTACTACTGCATGGGGAAGAGCAGGGCCAAGTTCAAATTTAAGGGGTAATCCATGGAAGAAAGCTGTTGTTCAGGAAGCTGGGTGCAGGGAAGATTCATGGAGTGGTGAAGAGTGGTCTAGTGGATCCTCAGACCTACATGTATCTGTGTGGAAGGGGACGGATGCTCCAATTGCTGCTTCAATAAATCGTTGGAGTATTCTAGATTCTAGAACATCTGCAAACTCATCGGCTGCCGTGGTTAGAACTGAGAATCCTTCAAAACAGCCTGGAGATTTTTCCAATTCAGGGTTGGATGGAGTTGCAAGCAATTCTACTTCAGTAAGCCAGCCTGGAGGAGGCTCTGGTCAAATTGAGGTATCTGATTCAGAAGTTGTGGACGACTGGGAGAAGGCTTATGAATGAGAACACGTTGTCTCCGAGCTTTTTGGACAGGGATACAGGATTTCATGTATCAACATTTTTGGAAGAAATTTTCATTTTTGTTGTTTGTTATCACAGTTTCCTCAGCATTTGTTACTCAAAAGTGTATTATGGGTCTGGGGAAATATTTTTCTGATCCTTTATTTTAATTAATGGAAAGAATTCTTTGCGGTTTTATTGAATTAGCGACGGACAAACTGTTATTAGTGTATTAATTGGGTGCAACTTTTTCTAGGTTTTGCGCTGGTTTGATTTCCATTGCAGCTTCATATTAAAGATGGTTTCCAGCCTGTTCCTTTTATGCGTCTGTTATGGGTTCATGCCTTCATGGTGTGACATGCACCTGCAGCCTGCTAGGCGAGGTGGCGGTTGCTAGGCGGCTTTAGGTTTAATTTGACAGGGCTAAACTGTAATTACAGTAATAAGTTTTTTGATCTTTTAAATTTTTAAAAATACATTTAAAATATTTAATATTTATTTTAATTAACATTTTATATATTTTAAAATTATAAAAAAATACAAAAATTAAAATTAAAATACAGAAAAACGTTTTCAAAGGAAATCTTAACAACGTGCTAAAACGTACGTACCAAAACATACGAATTTAATTTAATTCCCTGACCCTTTTTGTCATTTTTTTTTTTTGAACATTTTGACACGGACGGGTTTGAAACTCGCCAAGGAGAAAGGGAATGCACCTAACAAGCTGGCTAATGTCAGTGGGCCTCTAGGTCCAAGTGCGACCCTTTTTGTCATATAATGTTCCAATTGATAAAAAAAAATGCATCAGCCTGATTGATGCAAATGATCTCCATTTATTCATTGGGGAATTTTCCTTTTTTAAATTATTTGCAGAAACGGCCATAAAGAAATGATCTGAGTTAATCAGAATTAGAGGAGTAATTTATACAGTAATGCTGGCATCCTACTTTTTCTATTATACGTGGCTTCTCAGTTAGAATTCATGATACCCGGATGATGAGCTAATTTTATTTTAATAAAAGTATTAATGACTATAAAAATAAAAATTAAGTATTGTTTTATAAAGATTATATACTGATTAAGAATCAAAATTAATTAATTTTGATTTTATTTAAGCAATTAAAATTAAATTATTAAAATGAACTAATTACTTCAACTAAACTAATTACTTCAACTAATTAAATAAAAAATAAATTGATTTTAAGTGACATCAAGGGGTAGAATTCTAAAATATCCAATTTTATTGTAATCAACTAATATAAGATTTATATTAATATACTTAAAGTATTTACTATCAGTATTTAATATACTTTTTCAAGTTATACTAAGTTTATCTTCACTTATTATTAATTCATTATATCTCTTTATGAGTTTAAATAGATAAATATGTATTATATTTTATAAAATTTCATAATTTATGAAAAAAATCAAATCCACTCATTATAATGTTATATGAACCACATTAATCTATTTCCAATTTTCATTTAATTCAAGGTAAATACCACTATAACTTATTGCATAAATCTCCTCTTGATGTCAACGATACTCCCTAAATCAATTTTAATAGTAGTTAATCATTAAAAAATATTAAAAAAAATAATTTATACCCTATATAAAATAATAAGTTTTAAAAAAATAAAAATCACAAAATTTTATATCAAATTGATTAAGTACTTTGTAATTTTAAATGACTAAATTAGTTCTTAATAAAAAAAAGAAAAGAAAATCAAATCAAATATCTCATAATAAATATAAAAATATTTATCATAAAATAAAATCTAAGAACAAATAAAATTACTTTAATAATATAAAATCTCAAAACTTTGATATGTTTTTAATATTAAGTTCTTTGTTATTGTTTCTCTTTTGATTTCCCAAAAACT